CAGGAAACTCCACTCTACGCATAGAAAAGTAGAGTGGGGCGGCGGGGTTGGCGATGCCACGGCAAACCCGCGGCTGCGGCGGGACAGTGTGGAATAGAGAGTGACCTCGAGCCAGAGTCTCCTGTTCTACTCACTCGCTCAGCAGGTGTGTGCGGAGAGCCTGCTGTGCGCGCTCATCAGGGGACACACGGAGGTGCAGCCCTTCCCGTGGGCAGCAGACTCTCTGGAGGTTGTGGCAGGGGACGTGTTAGGCCAGGGAGGACACAGCACAGGGGGCCCAGAGAAGCAGCACCACAGCCGGGCAAGCCGGGGAGAACGTTTCCTGGCCACAGGGGATTCGTTCTGTCTTTGCCATACCACTTGTGGGTGGCCCTTGCTGCTGACAGAGGCTTCCTGAGTGGAGCTGGCGGCTGCAGATGTGAAACAGAAGGAAAGGGGGCCAGGTCCCCAATCCCCTCTCTGTGAGCGATGTGCAATGACCAGGTGACTTCGAGGACCAGGAGGATCCCCATCATTTACTGGAGGTTCCTTCCGACACAGCCTTGCGAACGTGGACTTCGGCACCTGCTAAGCTCAGAGTGATGAAGCCACTTGCCCCAGGTCCCATGGCGGGAAGTGCTGGACCGCGCGTTAGGCCAGGTACGTCTGACAGCAAAACACAACCCACTGCACCCGGCCGGGGCGGGTGGGGGCGGCTCCAGAAAGGTGCCAGACAGCACAGGTTCCTCCTGCCAAACCAGGGTCCGGCAGCCATTCCTACCCCAGACTCAGGCTTAGGGCGCCCATCTGGTTCACTTCTGGGGTTACAGCTGGAATAGCAGCTGCAGCCCTTGGCTTTGAGGACCATATGCACCCGCGAGCCTATGCATTCGCTTATTCGACAATCACTGAGCGCCCGCCACGCGCCTGGCACAGTGCGGGCACCAGCGAATCCGTAGCTCTCCTCACGGATGCAGGGTGCTACAATCTCCCTGGGCCAGGCTGCTGGCATCTTAAACCCCACCACTGGCCTTTAATTTCTTTGGATGTAGACACAGAATCACTTTAAAATGTGAGGGGCTTGGGCAGTGTGGCCCATTGGACGTGCATTTTTAGGACATTGCTTTTGTAGGGTGGAGCAAGAGCGGCACAGTGGCGAGCTCTAAAGGAGGGAGGGAAGAGCCGTGGTGCCGGGGGCAGACGGTCCCCCCTCACCCCCAACACCCGCCAACAGCAGACACAGACCTGAGCCCTGGGGCGCAGAGGGATCTGCGGTCGAGCACCGCGCAGGCAGGACTCACAGGACCGAGGCTCTGGCCTTTGCAGAGACACCTTCCTGGGGCAAGGTGCACCTTCTACCCTGACTGCCGGAAGTCCCTGGAGCCCATGGTCACCCCACACCCGCCCAGACCCTCCCACTCTTACTTTAGACTCTTCATAAGGAGACCGGGCCAAGCGTTGCCCAGCTCTGAAGACCAGCGCCGGAAACCGCGGGGCAGAGTCGCAGGGCCCAGCCCATCTCAAACCCACCCAGGGCTGGCCGCCGTCCCAAGTGAGGTCCCTTCCTTTCCTGGTCCCCGGCAGAGGGCAGCTGGTAACCAGACGTCCCACCGGGGAGGGGCTGCAACCCGAGGTGAGGGTTCGGGGCACACCACCAAGTGTGGCTTTAGCAGTGGCCAAGAGCAAGGTTCAGCCCAGCACAGGGCACCAAGCACTTCGTTTCCCCACGCCCCAGCGCCTGTCTGCCTCTTCCCTCCCCAACCCAGCCAGCCCGTCTCCTTCCTGCCGCCTTCGGCTTCCCCTGGTCCCACTGAAAGTTCCTGCAGGCACCAGGGAAGTGGTCAGTCCCACAGCCGCCCCACGGCCATGCAAGACGGGCGGGCGTCGGGGGATGGCCTGTAGCTCCGGGCCAGCCCTGCCCAGGGCTGCAGAAGGGGTTGACTCCAGAGGCCTCAGAGGCAGGACAGGGACAGTGGGTGGTGGGGGTTGGGGGCGTCTCCAGTGCCCCTTCCAGAGACCACCCACTTTGAGCCACATTTGCATACCCAGCTTGGTTCTGGGGATTGAGCCTGGGCAAGGGGGCGCTGATGTGCAGAGAGCCACTCAGGGCGCCCAAGCACAAGCACCACGCGGCTGTGACCTTGACAAGGACCCAGCGGTAAAGCTCCCTCAAAGGGAAGGGTACACAAGGCCCCCCAGGCCCCTCACACCACCTGCCCCTCCCCACCAGGCAGAGGCCGCAGAGCACCGTTCCAGCATCTCACCCCGGGGCTCAGGAGGAGGGAGAGGGCAGGTGGACCTGCTCTGCACGCCCTGCTTAAGCTCGGGACTGGCCTCCCGAGCCAGGACCCTGGCGCAGACCCCTGGGCAGGGCCTTGTGAGCCCCAGGCCCAGGAGACGGGCGCCAGGCTGCCCGGGAGAGCTGCAGCTGCTGTTCTGCAGACTGCTCTGTAAAGTGTGCAGGTGACTTCTCGCCCTGCGGGGAGGGGTCAGGGAGATGGTGGGGTCCTGCCCAGAGAGCTGCCTGGACACCTGACCCTAGCAGAAGCCAGATGTCAGCAGGTGAAACAGGGGAAGTAGCAACCCTCGGCCCACGAGGTAGTTAAGCCACCGAGGTAGAGAGTCTCGGAGGCCACTGCCCCACCCGAATGTGTCCGGGGCTCTGAGGACAAGGAGAGGACACGGCTTCCGGAAGGGCCATCTCCCTCCTGGGAAGGCGGTTGTCAGGCATAGTTGGCCTCAGGTGGTCAGCAGAGCGTGGGGACTATAGGGAACCTTCTGGTGTTCCTGCCCTTCTGGTGCCTTCACCCCACCCCTCCCCTCAGGCCCTAGAGCCTCAGCCCCCCAGGCCCAGGGACAGGGACCCACAGGAGGGCCTGACCCCCGAGGACACCACACACACGGGAAGCTCGTGTCCCTGCAGCCTGACTGTATCTATGATATTCTTTTCATCTTTGTTTTGATGGATGAAGTTCAATGCCAGAATATTTGGTTTATGAGTCATGCTAATTACAGCTGGGAGGAAGGCACCAGGAAGAACAACAGAAAGGAGCATGTTCCGAAAAAGTTATGCTGTGCTGGTTGCCCCGACCAGGGAGGGTCTATCCCAGGAATGAGCCGTCCCCTTCCCGGGACGCGTGGGCTTTCTCCGCTCCCACTGGGGACAGTGCCCTGCTGCCTGGCTGCACCTGCCCCAGAGGGGCCGCTGCGTCCTGCGGCTGCACAGGGCCCACCCAAGTCCTCCCCGAACTGCTGCCCACGGGAGCACCTTCCTTGGCATCACTGGGACTCGAGATGGCAGCAGGGGAAGAGGGAGCGGGGTGGAGAAGGTGAGAGCCCCTGTGCAGCAGACCTGTGTCCTTCCTGCCGCGGGGCATCCTCTGTTGGCAGCTGGGAAGAGGAAGCGAGAAGCTTGGGGAGCTGGGCTCAGTGTCCCCAGCAGGGGTGGGGATGTTAAAAGCACAGTCTCTGGGTGCGAAGACACAGATTTGCGTCTTGGGTCTGCCACCCACCTGCTCTGCGACCTCAGGCAAGTCGTGAGCCGCTCTGAGCTTTCCAGCTCTCAGCTCTCCAGAGTTTCTGAGAGCTCCCTCTAAAGAACTGTTGAGCATCAACATTTTCTCAGCTCCTGCCACGCAGAAAACACACGGGTCTGTGGCTGACGTTGTGATTGTCATTGCCGACGTGAGTGTCCTCGGGTCACGGGCACCTACCTGCCCAGCTCTATAGGTCTAGAGGTCCTCGGCCCTCTGCTCCCCTCCCCCAACATCCCCCCCCAACCCCCCACCCCGGTCTCCCTGCCTGTGCCTCCTCCTCTCAGGTTAGCAGGACGCCGCCGAGCAGGCCTCGTGGGGAACGTACTGACCCTCCCCGCATACACAAGGGTCAAGTGCGTCTGTTCTGTTTGTGACAGTACTCACAGGGCTGCACAGCCGCCGGGGAGCATGTACTTTCCTGTACTATAAAAAGCAAAGGCTGAGCAGCGTCTAAGGACGTCACACGCTCCCCGGGGACCCGGGAAGTAGCTAGTGGTGGGGAAAACACAGTTTCTCAAGGCATTTCTCAATTGCAAAGCGCAGAAAGAGAGCGCTCCCAGTGTGTCTGTCGCCTCCATTCCTAGAAGCGAGGTGAGACAGAGCAGCAGAGCCAGGTCACAGGGAGCTTCCTCCCTCCTCCCAGGCACGAGTGGGCCAGGACACCCGTGAGAGCCTGAGGCACACGGAGGGGCCAGAAGACACGCAGGCTCTCCAGGGCCGGGAAGCAGTGCAGGCCAGCAGGTGGGGACCACACCTGTGCCGGGAGATGCCCCTGAGGCTGCGTGGTGAGCTGTGTGTCCACATGCACTGTCCGGAGGCTGCGGGCGGCTCAGCGACTCCAGCCCCAGACCAGGGCCACTCTCAGTGACACAGGCAGCTTCACTTCCCAGGAGGTCCCCAGGAAGGAACACTGTTTTTTCCTGCCCAGCCGGAACACCAAGGCTGTTAGATGTGGGGGCCAAAGTCAACGTTTCCTACGCTGCGCAGGGCCCAGGAGTTGGCCACGTACGGGACCGGACAGACCTGGCTCTCGGGTGGTCTAGGTGATACCGGGTGGGGCGAGGGGATCCCACTAGGTGCAGGGACGGCCATGGGTGCCATGCGCTTCCCTTCCTCACCCTCAGAAAGGCACCAGAGAAGAGGGAAGCAACATAACACCCCACAGAACTCGGGGGTAACAATTTTTCCTGACAGTGTCCGTCTGCAGAAGAGCCCGCCTCCTCCACGGTCAAGGAGGGAGATGGGGGATCCCTCCGTGGCACCTAGCCTGAGGAAGGGGAGTTAGCCTGGACGGGGCGCAAGGCTTTCCCTGAAACTCCTGGTCCTGCTGCCCCTTGGCCACAACTGCCAGCCCGGCCCCTCCCACTGGCCATGCTGGCGAAGGTGTCTGCTCAGCCCTGCCCTGGCCACCGGCTGAAGCCACGAAGGCAGGAGCAGGAGCGGCTGGGTCCCTCCCAGCTGCATCCTGCCTGCGGGGCCACCTACCTCCGTCCAGCCCGGCTACCAGCCGAGTCCTTGCCGCCGCCTCTTAGAGCATCTCCCGGCCGAGCCTCCTCCCGGTCAGGTCTGGGGAAGCACAGACTTGTCGAAGGCGACAGAGCAGGGAAAAAGTCCTCAGGGAAGAAGGCGCAGAAGAGGGGGTAGGGGAGGTGCAGGCAGCAGCCGGCCCCTCCCGGCACCTTTATCTCCGAGGTCTCTTTGGCCAGAAGCGGAAACGCAGTTTCTCGAAAGTAAAGGAAGAGGCGAAGAAAGCGGGGCCAACGTGTAAAGAGCAAACCCCAGCCAGATGTGAGCGGCGGAGGAGCTCCCAGCGCATTTTAGCCAAACAGCAGCCGCTGAGGATTAACTGTGTGTGCCCCGCCGGGCAGAGCGAAGCCAGCGCCAGCGCTGCCCTCCTCCCCGCCACCCCCGGAAGCCAGGAGCCTGGGAGCGCAGATGGCCACCTCTGGGTGTCTGGACGTCTGTCCAGAGGTGGAGGGGGCTGGGGGCCCAAGACAAAGATGTGCTCACAGGGTGGGGGTGCCCAGGAGGGCTGAGAGCTCCGGGCTACTTGGTAGCAGGGGGATGGGCTTCAGTAGCCAACCCGGCGGGATCGAGTCTCCAAACAGCGCAAACCTGAGACACACCATCTATCGGGGGCTCCACCTGGGGTCCAGGGACTGAGAACAGGTTTGGGGGGCTTTGTGAGCCCCCACAACAGACTGTCAACTTGCGCCTGCATGTGCGTGTGTGTGTGTGGGTGCGCGCGCGCACATTCACGCGTGTGTGTGTGTGTGTGTGTGTGTGTACACACGTGTTTGGAGAAGGAGATTGCCGGTTGCGCTCAACCGTCTTGAGAGCTGTGACCCAAAGGTTAGGAAGGAACCTCTGCCCGAAAGTTTCGAATTTTCCAGAAAACAACATGAGTGCAGTGGGGGTCTGGGGTGGCAGGAGGGGTTCAGCGTTCCTCCACCTCCACCAGGCTCTCATTCCTTGATATAAAAAACTGACATTTTCTAAACCACGCAAGTATTTTTTCTGAACAAGGCCCTGGCCTCCCATACCAACCTGTGTCCCCGGCTCCTCCGGAGCCGTCCCTGCTCAGGGCCCAGTCGCCATCCGCGACCTCTGAGTCAGACGGCCTGTTCTGGAATCTTATCATGTCATTGGAAGAGGGAGGATTTGGTTGGAGAAACGAAACTCTGCCAGGACGATAAGAGTTTTCCTTCCTTCTTGCTTCTGTCGGCGCCTGCTCCCACGTTCCCCCGGCCGGCTCCCGGCCTGGAGGTCGTACCTGCGCCTCGTTTCGCTATCGCTCCTCCAAGGGCCTCTCTCTCTGGCTACATGGGACTAGAGATGTAAAGACAGGGACGCTGGTTTGGGACGTTCAGGGCAGAGCAAAGAGGCAGAGCTTCACTCCTCCTTAGAACCTCCTCCCGTCCCCTGCACCAGCGCGGGGCGAGGCGGAGAGGTCGCAGGGAGAGGAAGAGGAGCGCATGCCAGGCCACTGTCTGGCCCCAGGCTGGGCTGGGCAGCGTCGGGGAGAGCTGAGCGGTGACAGAGAGGGGACGAGAAGGGCAGGCTTCTGGGTGGAGAGGGAGCCCGAGAGTGCCCAGCGGCCACCCCGCAGAGCCCTGGCTGCGCGTGCAGCACCCTCCTGAGAGCAGAGGCAGGAAGGCTGCCGACCCCTCCAGTGCCCAGGAGAACTTCAAGGACACAGCGGTGAGATTAAATAAACTGGAGATGTGGCCTCCGCTAGCCTCAGAAGACTCAGGGCTGCTCGTGTTCTTGGCATGTGCGTCTGACGCTTGGCAAAGCTTACATCCCCGTTGCTTACTGATACAGGAAAACCCAGAGATAAGCTTGTCTTTATTCCTGTAAGTGACATGAGGAAGTCTCCCTGTCACCACGAGCAAGGCCCAGCGCACAGACTGACCTTCCCTTAGTCGCTCTGCCCTCAAATAGCCCTCGTAGCAAGGAGGCCAGAGAAAAAAACATTTTACGCAGCCCCTGGGAGTCCTTTGTCCATACACCAGAGAATCTGGGCCTTTCTTGGAACTCTTACGAAGTGGGAGCTCCCCAGATGCGACGGAAAAGTTCCTCGCTGTCCGCCCCAGGAGCTGAGATTTAGCGAGGCGCCGGCCAACACCAGAACTCACCGAGCTGGACACAGCTCGTAAGAGGAAAAGATGTGGAAGACAGAAGATTTATTCTTTCTTTTTACTCCATGCACGATGGCTCTGGGGCTGAAGCACCGAAAGGCGGTTGTCTTCAACATAACGCCCAGACACGAATGTGGAGGCCCCACGTAGTGCAAAGGTCTACAAGTATCACCAGATGACGCGCATCTCTTCATCCCAGGAGGAGGCTTGGAGTCCTGGCTCCGTCTTACCTTGACCCACCTGGAGATGCTCCCAAACCTCGCTGGGCCTGAGTTCTCTTACCTCAAGAGCAGAGACGGGCCCAGGGTCTCTCCTCTGGAACCAACGAGGCCGGATGTGGTCAGAGTAAGATGGAAACACCCCACAGAATATCTTAACCCGGGGGCTTCGGGCAGCACCCCTCCCTCAAACATCAGGACGTTCCGCAGTGGGATAAACCAAGGCTGTGAACAGTCTCCCGACAGTCCAAGTCACATTCTATCAAATTCGTTTGTGCCAAATTTAGAGGAAAGCTAAGTTTCCAGAGCTTTTGATATTTTGCGGATTGGGGTAAGCCTCTGTGAACCTGTAGTTTCCCATGTGACAAGTGAAAATGTTGGTGGCGCAGATATAAAGTGTATAATTTCATTATAACTGTCCTTCTTGTAAGTGTCATCTTCCTCCCCCCCTCTCGGGTTGATCCCCACATCTCCCAAGGGATTAGAAAAGGGTGCACTCATTTCCCCCGAGGCTGAAACTGGGGGCCAGGGAGAGTGACAGGAAACGCAACAGAGGGAGCCTGGCGTTTCCCGACAGATCTGTGTGAGGCGGAAGGCTCACATGGGAAATTCCAAAGACTAGGAATCGAGGTCTGGGCACATCTTAGGTGCGGCCGCCGTGGCCACAACTCAAGCCAACAGGCAAATGGACAAAGATTCGCAGGCCCAGCTGCCGAAGAACGCAAGCCAGTCCTCGAGAAAGAAAATAGATGCCACCAAAGCACAGAGCTTGCCAGGTTCCCAGTGCTCTCTGTCGACTTCGCTTCTGCTTTAGGACTCTAACTAGGAAAGATGGAAAACTCGGCAAGCAAGGGATGGTCTCACAGACTCCTTGGTTTTCTTCCTTCCCAGCCCTGGGCTCCCCCGAGCAACCAGAGGCAGTGTTTTCAGTTTAGCAAATACCTTCCCGTTGGACACAGTCCCTGTGAGTGCTAGGACAAAAGTCACGGCAAAAAACAACAACATAAATCAAAAACAAAAACGAGCCGCAGGGCCTGGGGGAGGTTTCATCACACCGTGATAATGGGTCAGAAGTTAAAGCCAACCAGAAAGACTGAGCCCCCAAGGTCCCTCCCAGGGTCCCTAGTGAGCTGCATGCCAGGCCCACCCTGCAAATCCCCAGGAGCTCACACCTGTACCAGGGCACCCGGGCCAAGCCCCTCCAGGCTTCCTGAATATTCCCAAGAGACTCCGTCTTCCCAGACAAGGGCAGCTCATGGGATTTTGGGCCCCAGAGGCTCACAGGGGAGGGGACACTCCCTGGAATCCTTGGCAGAGGAGGCAGCTGTCCTCCCCAGCTCGGCAGCTCTCCCTCCCTCCCTGGGCATGGCATTGCCACTGGTTGTGTCTGTTTTCTCATCACTGGAGAAAGGGATGTGACCTCGGTTACAGTCTGCAAGACATTCGGTTCCAGATAAGCACAGCATGTCATTAGCAGCGCTGTGATTTTCCCACTGCGGCTCCAACATCCTGCCTTTCCCAGCTATTCTGGGCCGGGCTGCCCAGTTATCCCACAAGAGCAGAGACGGGTATTGCAAACTTTTGAATTCCATTCCGCAGGGTAACGACAGGCAGGCTCAGACGGTGGTGTCCCATTGCCAAGGGGTGGGGGTGGGGAATCTCCACAGAGATTTAGAGAAGTTGCTGGGAAGGAAAAGTGGAAACTTGGCAGCCAGACCCAGCCTCCCTGGCCACCGGCCCGCGATCGTGGCTCTGGATGGTGCTGCGCGTGTTCGGAGCAGCGCGAGGCAGGTGGAGGTCGGGACGGCGACAGCAAGGACACACTGGGTTAATCTGCTTCTCTGTGGTCCTCACACCTGGAGAAAACCACAAGAGTTGGGCGTTCCTTCTCCAAGGAAGGAACGCCTTTCCGTGGAAGTCTCCCCTGCAGGTCAGAGCTGACAAAGCAAACGTACAGACTCACTTCGGCCATTTACACGCCTCTGACTTTAACCAAGCCATCGATATCCCTGCTTGGTTCCTCCAGCTCTAAACGCTGACTCCCCTATTTGGGTAACGAATGCTTTCAGTTGCACACAGACAGACATAGACGGAACAATTATGCAATATTTTACTGGACAAATAAAATGGGAGGGCCCCCTGGTGGACTGCCCCGTCCCAAGCATGTAACTGTGAAATGAATGAATGAGTCAATGAGTAAGTAAACACATGAATGCATGATTCAAGTGAAGAATTCGTCGTCCTTTAGGCAAAGCCACAGGAACTAAAGAAGAGAATTTACGGAAGGAAGCCACAGTGAAGTCTCCGATGGTGGAAAGAAGACAAGGAGAATGAAAATCGAATGAAAGTCTAATTGTCTCTAACCACTGAGTCATTTTTGACCTTAAGGACAGTGATTTCGCGGTGCTGGGGAGGAGCGTGTTCACTCACAGTATGCGAACACCTTCTGACCCAGTAATCTTTCTTCTGGGAATTTATCCTACAGACATACTTACAGCTGTGCTCAAACAAGTTCAAGGATATCCCCTGAAGCGTCGCTGTAGTATAAAAAGATCACAGATATCCTAAAAGGACGTCATCGGGGTCCTGGAAACATAAGTTGCAGGACATCCGTCCGGTGGAACACCATGCAGCTGCTCAGAGGGTGAAGCTGTTCTCTGTATGATGACACGGAACAGTCTCCAAGCTGTACTATGAAGTGAAAGACCACAAAACTTCACTGGAAAACATTAAAGAAGACCTAAATAAATGAAAGGCCAATCACAGTCTTGGACAGAAGATTCAATATTATAAAAATCTCAATTATCTCCCCATTAATCAAAGTAATTCCATTCAAAGTCCCATAAGCTTGAGGGTAAGGGAGGGAGGGGGCATGTCCTACAACATATGAAGGCTTATTATGAAGAGATAATAATGGAAACAGTGGATATTGGGGTAGATATGAAATACCATATCAGTGCAACATAACAGAAAGTCCCCAACAGCCCCATGTGTATGTAGAAACTTGATCCATGACGAAACTGGCATTGTATGCACATCAAAGGGGAAAGGATGGATTATTTGTTAAAAACAGCACTGAGAGTTTGGGACATACACAGAAGGAAAAATGTAAATGGCCAAAACATGTAAGGAAAGATATACAACCTCTCAGTAGTCAGGCAATTAGAAGACATTTGTACCACCAGATTGGCAAAATTAAAACACCTGATATTATCTGGGGAGCAACCGAATCTCTCATCCATTGCGTACAGTTTTATCTCATTTTACAAAGGTTAAAATAGGCAGAAATAAGCAATGTGTCATTTAGGGATACATACCTATCTGCCAAAATTATAAAGTAAGGTAAGAGAATGATTAAAACAACATTCAGGATTGTGGCTACCTCTTGGGGGTAGGGAGTAGTGGGAAGAAGCACCTGGAGAGTTTTAAAGATACAAGGAATCATGTGTTCTTTCTTAAACTGGCAGACATATATAAATATCTTAAAAAATAAAGGATTCAAATAATTTAAAATAATTATAATAGTATGGCAGGATGTGGCAAATGGGACTCAGTTTTGCATGACAGGAAACATTAATGACTTTGAGAAAGGTTTATCTCCCCACCCCCATCCAAAAACAACTGCAGAACAGTGTGTTTAGCTCATTTCCATTTAGCTAAAAAAAAAGGTAATTTAAGACCAGTGTTCATGGCTTGTTTGTGTAGCGTAAAACATCTCTCAGAAGAATCACAAGAAACTAGTAATAGCGACCACCTCTGGGCAGGGAACGCAGAACAGGGATGGGAGGGAGGGTCATTTTCACTGTGCACCGTTTATACAATTTGCATTTCCCCCATGATAGTGTGTGTGTGTGTGTGTGTGTGTGTGTGTGTGTGTGTGTGTTTTACCTAAAGGGAGGTTTCTGAGGATGGGGAGGGAAGCAGAGGCAGGAAGCCGGGGCCTGCAGCAGAGCCGGAGCTGTAGCCCGCAGAGGTCCCAGCGAGATAAACTGCGGGACATCCACACAGTGGAATACCACGCAGCTGTTTAGAGAATGAAACTGTTCCCCAGCACCCACCGCCGGGCGGGCAGGACTTAGGGACCGGGCGGGGGAGCGAAGAGGCCTTTTAACACAGTGCTGGAAAGCTGGGGGGTTGGGAGAGGGACAGGAGGAGCCAGAGACCTTGGCAGGGGGGTTGCTGCCAGCAAGCAGGCCGCAGGGACACACCCACTATGCCCGCCCAAGGCACTCCAGCCTGTAGACAGCCTGTCCTGGCTCTGGAAGCTGGTCAGCATCCCGACAGGGCCCACGTGACAGCCAAGGACAGCAAACACACAGGCACTGTAACTCCCCCAACACACACAGGGTAACTCC